CCTGCAGACAGTGCCTCTGGGCCTCGGCTTGGGTGGGTCATGCTTCGTTGGCAGCATCGATGGCAGCATCGATTTTGTGTTTATTTGTGAAGGGACAGAATATGAGATTACCAAATAAAATATAATTTCAAGTGTTATTAATGAAAGAACATATTACCTTCCTTTTAATGAGATCCCGGTGGTGTAAAATGATTCCTTGTAATGAACCCCAGGAAATCAATGAGAAGCTGAATTACAGCTGTGGCAGTGCTGCATGGGAGCAGTGCCCTGTGGGAGCAGTGCCCTGTGGGAGCAGTGCCCTGTGGGAGCAGTGCTTGAGGCCGGTCTGCTTGCACCGCCTATCAGACCTCTAGAGGCCTTGCTCTTTCTTTAAGGCAGTTGTTTTTGATGAAGTAAGTGTAAATACATCCTTTGTTAGCTTTTGATTTTGGGGGAAATGTGCTCAAAATTTAGATTTTCTCTGCTATAATAATGACCCCTATCATTTTTTAATATACATTGCCATTTGCAATTTGTACGTTTTTATATTAGGTACTATTTCTGTTTTGTAAATTTAGTCATTGTCATGTCTTACCTGTTCCCTTTCTCAGTTTTTTGCAAACCACTTTCTATCTCTCAACTTGTCAGTGGACCCCAATAGTTAAAAATTTAATGTGCTTTCTGTATGGTTCACAATTCATTGAAGCCCTAAGGTGAATAAAAAGAAAAACAAGATACTTCTCCTCTGAATTAACACTTTTGCTTTCATGTAACTACATACTCTTTGATTTTAAATTTCTTTTTACATTTTTATTTTGATAGTTTAATGATGATGGTGTTTTCTTGTCCACTGGGGTGATGATTGATTTTTTCTTACTTGTTTATAAGGCAAAATACAAAATACTGATATGGATATTTAGAGATACCTAAGGTAGTTTTTTATTTTGGTGACTCTAGCTTTTGCTAATTACATAGTGAGAAAGGATTTTCTATGCTCTTATAGCCACCAAAGATGGTTATAAGCCGTCTACTTTTGATTTAAGGTTCAAAACTTTAAAATAGTCATGAGTTATTCTGTAATAAAAGCAATTTACCTAGCTCCCTTTGAGAGGGAATACCACTCAGTTTCTTTTCCCTCAGATTCTTCCTTTGACACCTCAGCCTTTCTTCCTGGGTGGCAGCATTCCTCTAGTGCAGTTGAGAAGCAGCCTGGGTGTTGCTTGTTGCGACACTCAGGCCGCGTGTGAGGAGTCGTCTAGCCCACCTGGGGAGCTGGTGAGTAGTGCAGAACGAGATGATGCTCACTGTGGAACACCCACCTGTCCGTGAGGCTTTGCAGTGTATGGTGTGGTAGCTGTAAAACATGAAAAAGCTACTCCAAGAACGGTGCTATTTGAGCATCCTGAAAGGAGTTTTGTTTGCTCCAAAAAAATGGTGCTTTTCTTGATGGTCACTAACTGTGCATGTGTATGGCTGTCATACAAGAGGCTGTTCTTTCCCTGTCTCACTTGGGTGAAATATCCTTTTACATGCACCTGCAACTACTGTTTTCAAAGCGTGGAATCACTGTGGCATTTTCTTCTGGGCATAAGTCGTTAGAGAATTAGAGAGCTAAAATTTTCCTCAGAATGTTTCCTTTGAAATAGTGTTTAGTCTTGGATTGCTGCCCTGGGTCCATGGGGGTTTGCTGCTGTTCTGTACGTAGGTGAAATCGCCATGTTCTGACTTGTGTACCAAAGTGGGCAGGGCCGGCACAGGAAGGGAGAGGGGACAGTGCGTGCTTCCTGGCCTAAGCCAGGCCACTTTTCTCCTTGGTGTGTCTCTGTGACTTCCAATAAGCCTCCTGTTTGCATTTAGCTGCTAGTCTTCTGCTTGTTGTCTTTTTCCAAATCGGTATTCTCATTCCTGAACCTTGTTTGGTCTGCTTACACCTTACCCCATCCTCTTTTCTGGAGGCAGATCTCCCCCTGGGAGATTCTGATGCACACCACATGTGGGGGCTGCCAGGCTAAAGGAAGGACTCCTTTGCTAAATACACACTCTGTAGAAAATTCTGGTTTAGGTTGAAAATCCACATATGTCTTTAGGTCACCTTTGCAAATTATCATTTACCCCAGTCAAAGAAATAGAAATATCAAGAAGCCTGTGCCTAACCAAGGTGTTATGGTCAGGGCTTGCGGAACTATAAATAAAGTTTCTGTACATTGCTGGTAGGATGAGACAGAAGGGCATGCCTGCCGGTCTGTGGCCACGAGAAGGAGTAATCTGTTTCTCTGGCATGTACTCATGGATGTCAGTGGAGGTGCCTTCCAGCCTTGCTTCCCCGTGGCCCCTCCCATGTTTACTTGACATCCATGACACCTCATCCTCCTGATTCTTGCCTCCAAATAGTCTTTGTCAGTGTCTGCCATTTGTCTGTGTCTGTATAAAATTTGGGTGTTTTATATACACTGCTTTTCACTCAATTTGTTGTCCATCATTGATCTTATTCGTTCCCTCGGGCTCAGCCATGGTCTGTAGGCACATGACTCCAGAGCTGTGTGTCTCCCTTCTGTTTCCAGTCTCTCCCCTGAGCTCGTTCAATGTTCTGTAAATTTCCACCTGGATGTCCCATGGTTCTTCAAAAGCAGCACGTTTCCCTAAAACTGGCAAACTAGACACCTTGTTCCCTGATTCCTTATTTCTATTCACGTCAACATTTTTCCTCAGGTTGCCCAGTGCAGCCCTTCACTTGGTAGTCTTTTTTTGTTGTTTTTTGTTTTATTTTCCTACCTTTCATAGTGAAGAAGTCTCAACAATTAATCCATCAAACTACCCTTTGTATCTCTCCAGTTCTCACTTTTGCTGTGTTAATGCACAGTGGATTAATGGTCTAGCCTCTCAAATTGAATCCTGGTGCCCATTGCCACCAGGCCAAACGCACTTACAGGTTATGTTCCTGCATTAGACTGTCAGTGACTCCCTGCTGCCAATCAAATGAAATGCAAACTGCTCAACTTGGTATTCTGCAATCTGACAGCTGTCACCATTCCTCCTCTACCTCCAGTAAGTGCTACTCTATACCTAGCATAGTGGTAACCTTAAAATATAGCAGTGAAACAGTCAGGGCTCCTGCCTTCAGGAGATTTGTATTCCCACGAGGAGCCACAGGTGGCAAATGCTGTGAAGATAATAAAGGGTGATGTGAGTGAGGGAGTAACTGGCGAGGGCCTCCTACAGATATGATGATCAGGGAAGTTCTCTCTACAAAGTGATATTTAAGATGAGATCTGAAGAATGAGAAGGAGCTTGGCATCCTTAAAAAAAATAGAGTACACCCAAAAAAGAAACTTCTGGTCAAGCTAGTAGCCTAGACAGACATGGCTCGCCTCTTTGCACAACCACATCAACATTACAACTAAAATATAGAACAGCCATCTCTCAGAACCATTAGAAATCGAGGTGAATGGAAGACTGACAACTACAGAATTAAAGAAACCACTTCCATCCAGACTGCTAGGAGCAGCACAGATGTGGAATGGGCTAGTCCCATATCCACGTGTGGTGGATAAAAATCCAGAAAGGATATCTCGGGAGTGAGGAGTGTCAACCCCACACCAGGTCCCTCAGCCCAGGGTTCCAGTGCTAGGAAGATAAATCCCCACAATTTCTGTCTGCAAAAACCAGTGGGGATTGAGTTGGTGGAAGAAACTCCTGAAGCCCCAAGCAGCTCCTATTAAAGAACCCATATGCGGACTCACCTACTTAGACTCACTTCCTGTGAGTTCCAGCCTTGAAAGGCACCAGTGGCATGTAGGGAGGAACTGAAATAGCTGGCGTCAGCTCGGTTAAAGGTCATTGTCCCTCTGCTGAGCCCTCCCCCAACAAAGCCGGCAAGCTGATGCCATATCTGAGACTCCATCAAACTGGCTAACACTGTGTGACCCACCATGGAGATCCACAGAGACTCTACCCCACACGACTTATGGGCCCACCCAAGCTGCTTTTCCATAGGAGTGGCTAGTCTGAACTTATGCTTCACAACTTCCTAAATCCTCTCAAACAAGCATCATCTGGCCTCAGTGAGCCACAGGCCCAGCACTAGCAGCAGCCAGTCTAGATTCACAGTTGGCTTCATCTGGGAATCTCCAAGCTCAGCACAAGTAACAGCCATCTGAGATTGCTTTATACCTCAATTAGGGTGGCCCAGGGCAAAACACATGGGGTCTGACCTTGCCCTGCACCACTTGGGAAATCTCAGAGCCTATGCACCCAGTGGGCAGCTACAGACTACATCAGAGCACCACCACCCTTCCCCTACACAGCTGATCCTCCACAGAGGGCAGAGGGTGGTGGTCAGTAGTTACAGCTCGTAAGATGCTCCCTGGCACCAGGAGAGAAGGACCAGGGCCTAAAGAAAAGGAGCAGTCACAGCGGGTGCTGGAATTGCATAGCTTTGCCTCTGCGCCTTGCCTCTTCCTTTTGATTCTATTGCTGGCCATAGGATTGTCATTTCCCTGTACTCATCCTCTAATTATCTTCTGGCCTCTCAGACCATCATCTGTGGTGGGCAAGCCCTCTACTCAGGTAGAATTAAAACCCACAGAATTAAGACCCTTATTATTTGCTGTCTTGTGTTATATAGTTACAAGTGTATGTCTGTCATCTCCCTGTCAGATAAATTCTGAGGGCAGGAATTAGACCTTTCTCATTTTTTTATCCTGTAAAATGCCTAATGCCCAGCATAGTACTGATTGTGAATGAGGAGGTATTCCATAAATGTTTGTTGAATGAATGAGTCATTCAGTCTAAAACACCAACATTATTTTTTCTCTAGCATATAATGGAATTAAAGGAAAATGAGCATTTTTCTGCGATGAACACATAATCAAAAAAATGTTATTTATTTTTTTAATGAAAGATTAGCCTTGGTTTGTGTTATTAAGGTAATCCATTGGTTTATGTGGAAGGCGACTTGGTTTTGGCATTGACAGCCTGGACCCTGCATGGTAACGAGACTCCACTCTGTTTCTCTGTTGCAGCTCTAGTCGTGGGCACCACTTCCGCTGGATTTGCACTGGCTCCGGGGCCATTTGACTGGTCCTGTTTCCTGCTTACCTTTGTCGGAACAGGCCTGGCGTCCTGTGCTGCCAACTCCATCAATCAGGTCGGCTTGTCACCTTTCAGTTAGATTTTAATATTGTTGTTTTTTACTAGCTGGTGGTACTATCACATTTTTAAAAAACCTTCCAAAATCATATATACATGAGGAGGTACTCTGAACTTCTAACACTGTATATCCTATAGAGGTCTGTGTGTTACATAACCAATTTGTCTTTTCTTTGGAGGTGAATGGTTTTCAGTTATATCAGGTGAGAGAGCAGTAGCATACCTGCTTCAAGTGACCAGGATGCCTTGTGCTATTCAGGTACATTCCCCTGAGCACTCTTTCTTTGGTTTGGTTCATTTGCATTTTAAATCACTATTACACACAAAAGAGAATGCATATCCAATTTTTAAAAAATAAGTAAATCAGTATTAGTACACTTGGTATATGGCATCCAAATGTATGAAAATTAGCATATTATTAATTAGCTAATTATTTTTAGCATCTTGTCAATTTAGCATATTATTTTTAATTAGCATATTCTTTTTAATGCATTGTCTCTCACCCCCTCTCCCATTGTTTTAAACCTCAAAATAATTCTCTAAAATAGTTTTTCCCTGCTTGGTCATTGTGGTGTGCTCCAATGCTGTGGCTTTTTCATAAGATACTTTAGTGAAAATGTCTTGGCTAAAACGTAAGGAAAAGTTGCTTTCATCACCAGAACACCCAAGAGGAATTGGCACAGGTTTAAAACAGGAATTCAAGTTACCAGCAGGAAAACAGCTTGGCTGAGTGGATATATAAGTTGGTAGTCCACAAAATATGGGAATTCTAGTTTGATAATGCCTAAAATCACTGTGTTTTTGTAATGTATTATCAGCTACTTGGAGAAGTATGAATCTATTTCAAGTAAGGTTTATTTTTTGTTACTATTTCTAAAGATAAAACAATCTTATGAGGGGTTCAAATAGCCCTATCACTTTACCAACAGTATTGTCCACTCCTGTAATCCACAGTGCCATCTCTTCCAAGTTGCTCCTTGCTTTTGCTACACTCCCATATTTCTTGGCTAAGAGAATAAGTATGGTTTCACAATGAACATGTTTTTAATGAAAATTTGAATGAAAAACAGTATAAGCAAAACAGATTTATAAGGCTATTTTAGGTCAATTTTTCAAAAAAATTAAAAAAATTTTATCTTTAGTTATAAATCTAAGTCATAAGGTTCAGTCAGGAACTTATTCTAGTTTTCAGGCTCTTTTTTTAAATTGAAGAGCTGATTTACCTTCGATATACTAACTGCTGACTCCTATTTGATTATATAGATTTAAATAAAAGGTTTAAAATAAAAGTGTGGGGGTTGAAGAAAAACAAAGCAATAACAACAACAAACTAATAAGCGTCATTTGGTTCGACAGAAATGCCAAGATTTTATAAAAGTAATGCAGAACCATCTTGATTTGAAGCTGTGACATCCCCCACGCACTGCCCTAAAAATGGTGGTTCAAGAATTTATCGTGGGATGGAAAAAAAAGAAAAAATACCTGTCAGTTGTAGCAGAAAAAATAACCAGAGGAAAGAAATGGAATGATTTACATTTAGACATAAATTTACAGAAACTGACTATTGGACCAAGGTTTTAGAAACTTTAAAAAGACTGTGAGTTTAGATGGCCACTTTACTTCATAGTCTGCAGGAAGTTTATTTGCTATAGGGAGTGAGTTGAGGTCTGTCAAATTTAAAACTATTCCCAAGGAAAGCCACAGGCTACATGATGGGGTTCTTTCTGGTACTGACAAATTGCAAAGCCAGTCTTTTCTGTTTTATTTCTTGCTTAGGTAGGTTTTGCAGCCCTGTGAGGCATCTCACACACACACCTCCCCTGTTCTTCCTCTAGAACACTGGCACATCCCTCCTCCACAAGTCGCTTACCGCCGCCCACAGCCTTGTCAGTGTTGGGCGTGTTGTTAACCTTAATTGGTGCTTGTTGGGCACATAAATAATTGCTTCATCTTCTTATATTCATCATATTGCTTCCTTCTACTTTTCTTGGGCCCTAATTTCCTTTGGAAGCTTCACAATACTTTAAATATCTTAATGATTCCCATCATCATACAATTCATTGTTACTGTGTTACCGATCAATTTTACAAATTACAATATTTTATAAATAACCAAATATTTTGGAAATATTTTTGGTTGGAAATATTTTTGGCTGGAAATATTTTAGTTCTAGTGTCAATAGGGAGACTCATAAAATTAAAGGATTGTGAGGCCATTTTCATTAGTGCCTTTAATTGAAATAATACGAGGCAATGAGGGTTTAACTGAGTTTTGAATAATAGATAAACAGTCTTGGTGAGATGGAAGAACTTACCACTTTTTTTAGGGAGCTGGTGTTCAACTTAAAGAATACATGTACTGTATGTGGTTGGTATGTATAAAAGTTCTTCAGCTTCCCATAGAGTTCCATAGAAGAAAAATATTAACTACTGTCTATGTTTATAGAAGGATTCAATCCAGTTCATATGTTTTAAATACTTTCTTTTAGCTGTTATTAACTTAGTTCTGATTGATTCTTTTTTTGTACCCTCCTTCTATGATCTCTCTGTGAAAGTAGAAAAAGTAAAGCTTTGGAAAACTATTCTTACATTTGTTTTAAGGAGAGAAAATAATATCCAGTTTTTGATTTATGAAGTAGTGACTAATACATAAAGATATATATATATATGTATATATGAAACCAGTAACATTAAAATGTAGAAAGGAATTACATGTTTTATAAAATATACACGTTTAATTCAAAATTATAGTGTGGCTTTAAAGCAGGTATGCCTTCAAAGGATGAAAGCAATTCATAAAATGTTTTTAACTTAACAACTGAAAGATAGAATGTTCTAAAAGGCTGAACTAATCAAATCTTGAGTAACAAGTGACTGAAAATGAAAAGCTGAATAAATTCAAGTAGAATGAATTAAATTGAAATAAGAATAATCATCATAATTATTTTTGAGTATTTGACATATTAGATGTTATAACAAGCTGTTCTGAGCAGTATTTCACTTACATACATATGAATTTTTTAATAGAGGTTAAGAGTACATGTCAATAAATACATTTCTACAGAATAAATTTTAAATGTGACATACTGTTCCATTTTATGAATGTGGCAATTCTCAACAAGCTCTCTGTAATTGCAACTTTTGCTTCTAGAGTAACACTGCTCCCACCTCTAATTGTGTGTGAAGGACAAACTCGTGGAGGTGGAACTGGTGAGAGGAAGGCTACCAGCTGGTTTAACTCTAAAATGTATGATCTTAACAAAATGACTAATTTCTGACATTCATACAGTGCTTTAGAGTTTGCAAAAGTATTTACAGAGATTATTATTTAAACCTTATGGCCCTGTGTAGTAGGGGGCATTTTTACTTCTGGTAATTGTAAAACATTGGTTTTGTTGTTAAATTATTCTTTTTCAAAGCAACATTTAAAAAAATGTATTATGCAAGTAATTTTTCATTTCAGAACAGTGAGAAAATATAGATAAGCAAAAATAACAACAGTTTTTATTTTCTTTTCCCTTTCTGTTGTGTATGTTAGAGTTACAGCAGAGAACCAGCAAAATTCCTGCCTTCGTAGTGCTCATGTGACCCACTTGTTAGCACCCAGACACTGTGTAATCTCTCATTAGCCAGTGACATCCCAATATAGTTAACTAATAAAAAAATGAATACAATCCCAATTAAAAATTGATTTATATTATCGTTGACTTTTAGAACACACATCTTCAAATATCTATTATTTTCTCATAGAAATGATTTATATACTATAATAATTTGTATGTCTTTGTAAATAGTATATCAAAAACACTCTTCATGTCAATACTTGGTATGACATGATTTTAAGAGTAATATATAGAGACACCATGATTTGTTTAATCAGTTTCTCCTTATTGGACATTTTAGAGATTTCTAGTCTTTTAATCAAAATAAACAATGCTGAGCTGAAATTCCTATAGCTAAATTGTTTAACATGTCCTTAACTATTTCTTTCAATAGATTTCTAAAATCATGTGGTTGTCTTAAAATATATGTAGCTTTAAAAATAAAAAGTTAAAATTAAAAAGTTATGTATTTCAAGTCCAGATAAATTTCTTCCCAGAAGGTCTTTTGTTTGTTTCAAATCAGCTGAGACGTGCATTTGGCAGCGCGTGGAAGTGGCCGTCGCCAGCGCTGCACGGTAGAGAACCCATGCCAGGTGTGCAGAGAGGCGTAGACGTGTCCTTCCACGTCAGGTTGTTTTCATTACTGAGGAAGTGGAGTTATTTCTTGTTTGGGGGGATTTTTTTTGGTGCTTATTGGCCGTTTGTGTTTACCAGTGAGTTTTGTCCATTTTACTATTAAGGGCTCACTTTTGCTCCACAAGTCTTAATGTATATAGGTTGGATTATTAATTCTGTCATTAAGGCTTGAATATATTCTGCAGTTTTTAAGGGTTTTTTGAAGTGCAGGTGTTTCATGTGTTTAACCAGCCAAATTCTTTATTTTTTAATACAGGGATTCTCAGCCTCTCCATTCTTGACAGTTTGGGCTGGATAACCTTGTTATGGGGGACTGTCCTATGCATTGTAGCAAGAAGTTTTAATAATAACAGTAATCACAGCTAACACTTATTTTTGCACTTCCTATATGCCAAGTAACATTCTAAGCATTTTATATAAATTAGCTCATTTGTTTAAGTCTAGGTTCATGGGATTTCAAAAAATGCCTCTTTTGAAAGATCAAATAAATGATGAATGAATTTATAACCTAGACTTAGCTCTAAGAAGGACCCTTGATGTTCTCTGAGACTTTTTTGTGGAGAAAATTATCAGAAAGGCACAAAACATAAGTAGAATTTCAGATCTAGGAGGTAGGTTATAATTAGGGAAATAAAGCTGGTAAGAGTATGTTATCTTTAGGATTTAGTGTATCTGTGAATGAAGAATTTTTATGAAAGGAAATAAAATAGGGTCAAGAAGAGACATGTGTTTTGTTTGATACTGACAATACATGAGAGGCT